TTTCCTTTGTTCTTTTTTCTGATTTTTCCTCAAAGTTGTATCCAGGTGTTTGTCTTCAATTTCGCTGATCCTGTCTTCCATTGTTTTAAATCTGTTCCTCGGCTCTTCTATGACACTGTCCATTTCTGAAATCTTGTTGTTTATCTTTTGGATTTCTAATTGTTGTTTTTGTATGATTTCTAGTTCTGAATTTATTTTGGCATTTTGTTCCTGTATTATTTTCCTGAATTCTTCTATTTTTTTGTCTGTATTTTCCATGAATTTGTCTATTTTCCATCATTTTTGTCTGCTTTTTGCTTCAACTCTTGGATAGCTCTGAATATTAGAGATTTGAATTCCTTATCAGGTAGTTCTAGTGCCTCTTCTTCTATTGGAAAGTCATCTGGTGTTTTATTTTAGACGCCTGCTGGAACCATCCTGTCCTGTTTTTTTATATGTTTTGATATTGTCTGCTGTTTTTGGGACATTCAGTAGTTGTTTTCCTTTGTTTATTGATTGTAAATTTTTTTTTCATCCTACTTTGTTGTTTTATGTGGTTATGTCTGAGCAGGCTGACTGCACGTTCTTTGTTGTTTGCTTGTCTGTGGACACAATATTTTTCACCTCCTTGTCCAATGGGCAGTGCCAGTCACTCAGCTATGGTGCAGCAGGGCAGGTCCAGCTGAAGGGGAGGGGCTGGGATGGGTTGTTTGTGGCATATACTGGGGCCGACAAGGTGATCCAGAAGTCAGTGCAGGGCAGGTTCCAGTAGGTCGTGCCCGTGCTGCTTGGGAGTGCAATGTTCAGCATGTGGTGCAGATAGGCAGAAGGTGGGGGAGGGGAAGGTTGTGATGTGTGGAGCTAGGTTGGGTATGAAAAAGGAGGAGAGAGAAACAGGAGCAAAAAAAAAGTGCTGAGGGAGCTTGCCATTGGAGTGGAGAGACAAGAAACTGAGAAATGAAGAAAAACAAAAAGGAAAAAAATAAGCATAAAAAATTAAATTAAAAAATAATAATGAAAAAATAAAAATTTCAAAAAAACAAACAAAAAAAATGCCCCCAGGGATCTCACTGGCACAGCTACGCAGATCAGAGAAGCGGCTCCCAATCCACAAAGTACAGCCCAGCAAGAAGGGGTGGAGATAATACATAGCACCAGGTATTCAGGAGACAGGAAAAGAAGGTAAGTAGAAAGAGATGAGAAACCGAGAAATGAAGAAAAATAAAAAGGAAAAAAGAAAGTGAAAACAAACAACCCAAAAAAAAGAAAGGGTAAAAAAAAGCCCCCAGGGATCCCACCAGCGTGGCCTAGTGGACTGGGGAAGCAGTTCCCCAGCTGAGCGGCGCTTCACAGCCTGTCAAGAAGAAGCAAAGATGGTACATGGAGTCAGGTGTTCAATTGAAAGGAGGGAGAGGAGGTGAGAGGCAGGGGAGAAATCAAAAGCGGCCGAAAAAAGCAACACCATCAACAAAGAAATGGCAGTGAAAAAGCTGGCTGGTGTGGGTAGGGCAAATCCGAGTGGCACAGAACTGGTGCCTCCCGGGCCATGGTCATGGCCTGCTGGGAAGCAGTAGATCGGCCCGCTGGGAGGCAGCAAACCAGCCCTCCAGAAAGCTGGGAATCGGCCCGCCAGGAAGCCCCGGATCAGCCTGCTGGGAAGCAACGAATCCGCCCTCTGGGAAGCCAGGAATTGGCCCGTTGAGAAGCTGTGGCTCTGCCTTCCAGGAAGCCGGGAATTGGCCCACTTGGGAAGCAGCGAATCGGCCCACTGGGAAGCTGGAAATCGACCCAGCGGGAAGCAGTGAAGGTCGAACCGGGGGAGGCAGGGCGGGGGGTGGGAAAGCATGTCTCGCTGGTTACTGGGTGCTCTGTCTTCTGCTGGGAGCTCCGTGAATCTGCTTTTCCATACTCCCTGTCCGCTGATCTCCAACAGGAGTCAAAGATGGTGGATCCGTGCTACATTAGCTGATAGGGGACCTCTGCTTGTAACTCTCCTCGCTCTGTGTTCTCTGTTAGTTTCTTATTCCATTTGGTGCTTGGTTGAGTTCTTTATTTCTTCATTTGACGCTTAGGGTTCCAGGATTAATGTCTGTCTCTGTTTTACTTAGTTTTTTGGGTCTTTGCTGTGGAGGAATGGTGTGGTACTTCTGTCTGTAGCACTTTGTTGGCTCTGTGATTCTTAAAAAAATTTTTTTTGGTTTTATTGTGTTTTAGGTGAAAGTTTACAGTGTGAATTATTTTCTCATTCAAAAATTTATACACAATTTGTTTTTGTGACATTGGTTGCAATCCCTTCAATGTGTCAGCACTCTCCCCTTTTTCACCCCGGTACCATGTCCATTCATCTTGTTTTCTTGTCCCTTCCTGCCTTCTTGTCTTGCCTTTGGGCAGGAGTTGCCCATTTGCTCTCATATACTTGATTGAACTAAGAAGCACATTCCTCACATGTGTTATTGTTTGTTTTATAGGCCTGTCTAATCTTTGGCTGAAAGGTGGACTTTGGGAGTGGCTTCAATTCTGAGTTAGCAGGGCGTCCAGGGGCCATAGTCTCGAAGGTTCCTCCAGTCTCTGTCAGACCAGTAAGTCTAGTCTTTTTTTGTGAAGATTCTTAAAATTTTTAATCAAGGGAAAGAGATTAAAATTATCTGACCTTATAACTGATTTTCAATAATACTACCCTACAGAAATTTTTTTATATTGTGCTATAACAGGGCATTAATTGTTTTTTTTTGTAGGAAAGAATACCTGAAAGGGATATCATGGGGCGAACAGTGAATGAAGGTAAGATTTACTTGTCTAAAGGTGAGAATGTTTTTAGTTAGTTAATTGGAATAATTATCTCCTGATATACTGAATATTTGAAATAAAGCCTTTTTAAAAAATAAAGCTATCGGATGTGTTAGGTACTTAGAATTTTAGAACTGAAATAGTTGTTAGAGGTAATCTTGTCGTCCCTTACAAACTCAGAGAGGTTAAGTGAACAGGTCATACAGCAGTCTTGACAATGCCAAGATTAGAATCCAAATTTTCGAACTCTAATATGAGTGATTTAAAAAATGATTCCTTCTGTCTTGTTCTAGTGAGAAGTCTGCTTAGTGTCCCATGAATATACCATACTCATTTGCAGTCTCTGCTTTGTGATATATTTTCCTTCCTATAATACATTCTTCACATCTCTGTCTTTCTAAGTCTTGTTCCTCCTTCAAAATCCAGTTCAAGTCCTGTGTCTTCCATGACTTTCTCTGGCTGAATGCTGTCCTCTGCTATACTCTAATTTTGTCAAGTGTATTAGTTTAATGTAGTTTCTCTAACTAGATTCTAAGCTCCTCTAGAGCAGGAGCCATGCCTTTACAGTTCTGTTTTCTTCCCTATTAGAAAATGTTACTATAGGACTATTTAATAAATATAAATGTGTACTTTGTTTTACTAGTCAAATCATTGAAATAGAAAGCAGCCCATTTACCCCTCCTCCAAGTGTTCACGTATCTTAAAGAGTCACTCAGTCATAAGCAGAAAGTAGATCTGATTTTCAGTACATCTGGCATCATCCATAGATCCTTTTTAAAAAGCCAAAGCTCAATCAGATTGAGCTCTTCTAGATCAAAATACTAATGCCAGTTGGAGGAAATACAAGGGCCAGAAGAACACAATGCCACGGGGAGACCGTCAGCAAAATCCAGACCGGAAAACCCTAAACGACCAACCAGCTGGTATCATCAGCGAAAAAACTGCAAAGGGAAGGGGAAAGAAAAAAAAGGAGGAGGAACCTATAGATCAAAAGAGACTTAAGAGACATATCAGATTGCTGTGAATGGACTTTATTTGAACCTGATTCAAACAATCTTGAAAGAATTAAGATAGTTGGGGAAATATGAACATTGGTCATTTGATGATATTAAATAATTATGGTTACTTTTTTTTAGGTGTAATGACAGTGTTATGATTAAGTTTTTTAAAAGGAGTCGTTTTAGAGATGATGTTATTAGGTGCTATTGAGACGATTCCTACTCATAGCAACCACATGTGACAGAGTAAAACTGCCCCATAGGGTTTTTTCTAGACTGTAATCTTAATGGGAGCAGATCGCCAGGTCTTTCTCCTGTAGAGCCACTGAATGGGTTTGAACCACCAGCCTTCAGTTAGCAGCTTAACCGTTGTGCCCCCAGAGTTCTTTATTTTAGAGATACATACTGTAATATATACAGATGAAATGATATAATATCTTAAGCTTGGCGAGGTCACAAGATCCAGTGCTGTTTGAGCTCCTTAGCTTGGGACAGAGAAGAAACTCTGCCTAGACTGTTGAAACACATTCATTTATCTCATTATTATGTTGTAGTTTAGCATCCCTTTTATATTTGAATTCTCAAAAGCATCTACTTTATTTCTAGAGCCAGTATTAATATTGTAAAGATAGCTAGTTTCATTTGTTGATTCATTTCATCCAACACATGCTTCAGAGTGTTCTGCATGCTAGTTCCTGTACTAGGCACCAAGGTTACTACAGTGAACAAAACAGACAAAATAAAATAAATAAGTCCTTGCCCTTTTGGAGCTTACATTCAGTTGGGGGGAGACATACAATGAACAAAATAAGTGAGGAAATTATAAAGTTAAATAAAAACAAAAACAAAAACCAGAAACCAGTTGCTGTTGAGTCAGTTCCAACTCACGGCAACCCCATGTGTTTCAGAGTAGAACTGGGCTCCATGGAGTTTTCAATGGCTATGACTTTTCAGAAGTAGATCGCCAGGCCTTTCTTCCCAGGTGCCTCGGTGGATTTGAACTGCCAACCTTTCGGTTAGTAGCTGAGCACTTAACGGTTTGTGCTACCCAGGGACTCCTATAACATACCTAGTATATTAGAAAGTGATAAGTCCTGTGTAGAAAATGAAGCTATTATAAAATTAAAACTGGTTAATATTAGAAAATAGATTTAGTTTATATTTTTTCAAAGTGCCCTTTCAAACTATTGTGACCATCCATTATTGCTAATTATTATTATGTTTTTTTAGATTCGATGGATGTTAAGAAGGAGAATCAAGATAGAAGTCCTCCCTCAAGCACATCTTCCGTGCAAACTGGTAGGTTTTGTTTGTTTGTTTTTTACCTTTGGCCCTTACTTATTTATTTGTAATTTGATTTTTACATTTCTTGTATTTAAATTTTCGGTAAATAAGATTCACAATGTTCAAAATTCAAAAGACACAAAAGGATATACACTAGGGAAAGACTCGTCTTCCTATCCCTATCTCGCAACCACTTAGTCCTCCCTGAGCAATCAAGGTACAAGTTTCATCAGTGGTTTTCTGTGTGATAGCTACCCCTTTCACACTTTTTTAAAATTGTTGTGATAAGATACATAACACAACATTTGCCAATTTAACATTTTTCAGGTGTACAATTTAGTGATATCGATTGTATTAATCATGTTGTGCGATCATCACCCATAATCACTGCCAAATTTCCCATCACAAAATGGTAGGGTTTTTTTTTTTTTTTATTGTTGTAATTAAATGAAGTTTACATTTCAAGTTAGTCTCCCATACAGAAATTGTTTTTTTTTACATACATTGTTATGTGACCCTAACCGCTCACCCCATTCTGCGACAGCACATGCAAAATGGTAGGTTTTAAAGTAGTTTAATACAACATATTTTTATTCCACGCTCAGTGTTAATATGAACTCTTTTCTTATTGCTTTTGGTACAGTATATGTACAATACATTCTTCTAAATATAAAATCTAAGCATTAGGAAAGGTAAAAATTATATCTTATTTTGAAAATTTTACTCTGTTTTTGCTTAGAGATAAATTGGTTTAGGATTAAGTAAAAAAGATAATTGTGTATTTCAGTGCAAATTTTGACAGATTATAGACATCCAGTTATTAATTACCATCTATTACCAATTTAAAATAATTTGATTATTAATAAAAAAGCCCTCTTCTAACATCAGAATCACTGTGAAAATCCTTTCTTGATGGTCAGAAGGCAGTGGTTAAGAGCTTAGGGAGGCCTGTTCTGGAATCCTGGCCTCACTCCTTACTGGCCGTGTGACCTTAGAAAATTACTCGATGTGTCTTAGCCTTTTTCCTCCTTTGTTGCACAAAGATAATAATAGCACTTACCTCATGGGGCTATTAGGATTTAATGGAAAAAATGAATATAAAACACCTAACATAATGCTTGGAAACCCTGGTGGTGTAGTGGTTAAGTGCTACGGCTGCTAACCAAAAGGTTGGCGGTTCGAATCCACTAGGCGCTCCTTGGAAACCCTATGGTGCAATTCTGCTCTGTCCTATAGGGTCGCTATGAGTCGGAATCGACTCAGGGCAGCGAGTTTGGTTTTTGGTTTTGGTAACATAATGCTTAGGTGAATTGTAAACGTTTAGTAAAACGTTAACTTTATTTATTAACCCTGAGTTATTAATTCATGGTTTAAGCTCCTCATTATGAACAACATACATATAGTGCCACATCAGGGACTCAGGAGATAGAATCTAACCCACTGCCCCTACCCTTAAGGAAAATGAGAACATTTCCTTAATTCATATGCACATAAAAGGCTGAATTTAAAAAAAAAAAAAACTATAGCAAACTATTGTACTTACCAGAGATTTCCAGGCAGACCTCTTGCCCTATGTCTTTCTGTTGTACCTGCTTTGCCGCCCCAATCCTAGGATAGTTCACCCCATGATTTTCTCTTCTCACACAAAGGTTGCCTATAGAGTAGACACGTGTTGTAAGGTACCATCGAGTCGGTTCTGACTCATAGTGAACCCATGTGACAGATGACAGAGTAGAACTGGCCCATAGGGTTCTCTAGGTCTTTCTCCTGCGAAGCTGCTGGGTGGGTTTGAACCGCCAACTTTTTGGTTAGCAGCCTAGTGATTAAGCGTTGCACCACTAGGGCTCCTTCCTGTAGAGGTCATCCCATAGAATCTCTCACTGTAGTTGGGCCCTCAGTGCTTCCTTAGCTTCCTTTCCCATTGGTCTTTTTTGTTTTTCAGTTCTTCCCTCCAACCCCCTATGGAGGCCATTAGGTTAGAACGTACCTCCTCATCCCCACAAAGTCCTCTCCATCTTTTTTTTTTGTTAATATAAAAGCTTTATTGAGATATAATTCACATACCATACAATTTACTAATTTAAAATGTACAATTCGATGATTTTCAGTATATTCACAGAGTTGTGCAACCAGTACTATAATCAGTTTCGAACATTTTCATCACTCCAAAAAGAAACACTGTACCCATTAGTAGTCATTCCCCATTCTCCCTCTTCTCCCAACCCTAGGCAACCACTAATCTACTTTTTATCTCTACAGATTTGCCTATTCTGGATGTTTTATATAAATGGAATAATAAAAATATGCAGTGTTTTGTGACTGGCCCTCTCTATTTTTTTTCTTTTTCCCATCCTTCTGTCTCTAGTGGGGAGGGGAGGGCAGAAATGTCCCCTGTCCTGGGTCCCAGCCTTTCCTACCCTCTCAAGGACCTTGCTTTAAATCTTCTTTTAATTCTTTAATCTCTCTCTACTGGCTTTTTCCATAGCCACTGAACTTATTCAAAACTCTCACATTTTAAAAATGTACTTCTCCTAAAAGCAGTTAAAAAAAATAAAAAGTAACCTCTCTTCAGCCCTCTAGCCCCTCTCTCCCTTCTTTTCACAGCCCAGCTTCTTGTTTTCATGGGCGCCCTTTCCTCACTTCCAGTTCTTCCTCCATTTCCTGTAACTTGGACTTCATCTCCACCCCTTGGGTGAAACTGTTACTGATAAATTCAGTCAACCTCTGTGTTGCCAAATTGAGTAGACACATTTTGGTCCATATTTTACTGGCCATCTCTAGATTATTCCATACTACTCACTGCTCCCAAACTCTCTTCCTTTGCTTTTTGTTACCACTCTTCTTGACATCTTCTACCTAATTTTTTGGTTTATCATTTTTGTTAAGTTTGAACCATATGAAATTGTCAATATTGAACAGTTTTTGACCTACAGTCAGCCTCATCTGATCATTTAAATGTCAACACCTGAGAATTCTGTCCTCAGACCTCTGCTCTTCTCACTGTATACATTCTTTCTGGGTGACTTATTCTGAAGTTTATATTTCAACCCCTGTTTATTTGCTAAAGTTTCCCAAATCTGTGTCCTGCCTACACTTTTTTTCTTAGCTACAGACCTTAATTGGTTGAACAGGAGTACATCCAAGTCATTGTCTTATTTAAAAAAAAAAAAAAAAACCTTCTGCCATCACTTCAATTCCGACTCATAGCAACTCTAAAGGACAGAGTAGAACTGCCTTATAGGATTTCCAAGGCTTTAATCTTTATGGAAGCAAACTGCCACACCTTTCTCCCGCAGAGCAGCTGGTGGGTTTGAACCACTGGCCTTTTGGTTCCCAGCCAAGCGCTTAACCACTGTACCAGCAGGTCTACTTCATTGTCCTATAGGTACCTCAAAACTACCTTGTCCTGAACCACACTTATCTTTTCCCTACCCTCCAAACTAGGTCCTACGTTTCTGACTTGGTGCATTATACCACCACCATCGTTCAGTTGCCCAAGCCAGAAACAGTGATTATCCTTTGCTTGCTCATTCAGGTCTTAGATACTCCTCTCCTTTAACACTACTTTTGTTTTTCCTGCCTACTCCATTTTTCTACTACTGCCTTAGTTCAGTCTCTTATCAAGTGTCTCATAAATTATTGTACTAGTCCCTACTGTAGGCCTGCTTCCATTCTGGCCCTTCCCCGTACTGCTCCCAGAATGATTTTTCTAAATCTCAAATTTCATCCATTAAAATCCTTCAGTGCCTCCCTATAGCTTTCACGGTATACCAGGATTTTCTGAGTTTAGTGCACAGTCTTTAATGATGTGGCCACTGCATGTCTCTCAGGCTTTGTCTCCTGCTGCTCAGCCATATGTAGCCATACAGCACTGCTTGCAAATCCTGAGCTTGTCATGTTGTTCCATGCCTCTGGGTCTCTCTGCTCGTGCTGTTAACCTTGCTGGAACACCTGCCATCTTTCCCTCCTACCCACCCCTAGCTAATACAAAGGGATGTAGTTTTTATCAATTTCTCACTATTGTTTCCTCGTGCTAATGACCATGGCATCTGTTACAACTACTTGATATTGGGGGTGGGAATTGGATTGTGGCAAATTGTAAAGATGTAATTGAATTATTTCTGGGTGGTGGGTCTCTTGTAGTAAGCTTTATATCTAGGATCCTAGACAAGTGAGGGAAGAAAGATTCAGATTGAGTAAGTGCTTGCTGTGTGTATGTAAGGCTTTGAGATCTATAATTCAATCCATTCCTCTTTCTAGATCTTTCTACCATATTGATGGTAAGGCTTTCAATGTATAGGTGAAGATGTGGAGTTCAACTCCACATAGCAATGGACTTCATAACTTTTTCCCTCCCCATCCCACTCCTCCTGCAAAACTACAGACAACCAGGAAAACAACAGAAGATAAAACCCTTTTGGGGGAGAACTTCCAACTATACATAAGAAATTTTTTAGGACATATTGAATTATAGTTTCAAACAATGTTTGGTAGTCGTGGGCTTTGAAGAAATAATACCAATAGAAAGATCAGACTTGGATGCAATGGTACAAAATTACCATTTTTAAATAAAGGCTTTAGGCCAGCTTTAATTTGAGGCAGTCAGAAGACTGCAAATTTTTATGGCTTCAAATGAAAAAAAGAATGTTTATCATGCAATATCCACTCCCCCACCTTATTTATAGGCATATTGATTGCCTCCCTAGCATCTTGTTTGACAGTTGATCTTTTCCAAATGCAGAAACTGATCCTTTTGTATATTAACGAATAGGATTTACCCATGTATGTATAAAATAGCTTAAGTATTTAGAAAGCTTTTTTTTTTAATTCAGAAACATTGATTTCAAGGAACACAGATAAGTTTTTAAAAATGTATTCTTAAAAGGTTAAAATCATTACTTCAAAATTCTCAAACTTTTGATTTGAAAAAATGAGATTACTTAATTGAATTGACAGCTGCAAATATTTCTCAGGGCTTGGACCCTAACATCTCATCTTAAAAATCAGTGAGTGACCTCTAGAAGGTAAGCTCTTAGAGGGCCAGGAGTTTTGTCTATTTTATTAACTGCTGCATCTGTAATACCTATGACTGTGCCTGGCACATACTGGCAGTTTACTATGGGAATCTAGTGATGAACAAGACAAACATGATTCCTGCCCTCTTTGAGCTTGGGGGGTGGGGTGGGGAAGATAGACATTAACAGTTGTGATAAATGCTGTGAAATACTGGGTGCTGATCATTTAGCTGAGAGTGCTGGTCATTCAACTGAGAAACTTTCAGCTCCATATATTTTGCCTGTCTTCTCCACCTAGCTTGTAAACCCAAGCCTAGCGCTGGTGGAAGACACTGTGATTTGGAATTACTCTGGAGAAGACCAGGGGGCTCATAAAGATTATATTCAGTGTGCCAGAAGGTGTTGGGTCTAATGTATGGACTAGAATAGAATAGACGACAAACAAGAAGAGGGACCCTGGGCATCTGTGAATAACATAATCAGATCACAAGGTTACGTAGGTACACCTATCTTACTCTGAGAGAATAACCTCCTGTCTGTCAATGAGGACAAGATACAGAGGCAAACTGGGACCTCGGGCTTAGCTAAGACTTTCTGACTATTTTGGCTCTTGACAGAGTATTAAGCTGTGGGATTGTTGTAAAGGAGTCAAATCTAAATTAGTAAAGCCTCGAGCTTTGCATATTTTCCCTGTTACTGATAGGGTCAGCTTATGAGCAGTGAAGCTGAACAGTTTTGTCAAGGGAGACTAAAAGTTTTGCCGTGTGAAAAAAGAAAAAAATTAAGACTCCAAATGATAAATGCTACATATGGTCATTGGCTAGCAATGTGATAGAAAATGACCATATTTAGAGCACGGGTATAAGGATTTGCCAGCTCAAATTACTGCCCGTTCAGACACAACAGGGAGAGATTATTTTTTTTAAAAAATCAAGTTATATTAGGGAGACGGATTAAGTATTTTACAATGTCTTTTTTTTTTTTTTTTTTTGTACAAATGTAACTGGTTTATGGAAGAGTCTTAGTTCTTTGGGGTATAAATGTGAGGTGGTTTTAGCTTCCCAGTCATTGTTTTCAACTTATACTCCTTTCCTCCTGGGGCATTGACGCCTTCACAACATCTTGGTCAGATTTTTTTTCCCATTCATGTTTTGTTTAGTTCTTTTTTTTTTTTTTTTTTTAAATGTGATCCAAGATCATATGGTGGTAGAGCTTCAGTTAGAACCTTGGGTCTACTGATTGTCAGGTTAGTGCTAGGTCACTGAGAGAGATATCCTGGTCAGTTTAATTTTGGAGCCATAGTTCTCAGTTTTCATTTTTGACAAAGTTATTCAGTATTCATAAGTTTGGGTACAACTATGACCTTTAGTTCTATAATAATAAAATATACCATTTATTGAGTGACTTACATGTATGCTACTCATTCATTTCTCAAAATACCTAGTACCGTATGTATTATTGGTAGTCACCGACTTATGATAGGGTTCCGTTCTGACATAAGTCGAATACTTCATTTTTTTTTTTAGTTTTCATTATTATTGCTTTTTTCATTTGTCTCTGGGGGCTGGCATAAGAATGATAACATCAGCAAATTATGTGCTACAACATTGTATGTAGTTCATATTACTAATGATAACATGTACAAAAATAAAAAACGGACGGTCATAAGTACAGTTTGTCATAACTTGAATACGTCATAAGAACTACCTGTACTCCCTCCATTTTGTAGATGAAGGAACTGAGGCTGAGAAAGTGAAATGACTTGCTCAGGGTCGTATAGCTAGTAAGAGGCAGAGCTAGATTGGAAATAGGCAGGTCTGAGTCCAGTGTCCATACTCTTGACGCTCTGCTGCATGCCTATCTGCACTGTGATGTAATGCTGGCTTCACATTATCCAGAGATGGAATCAAGCCCAGTTTTTTTTTTTTAATGGAAAAATCTCTGAGGTTGATTAAGTTTTAAAAAAAAGCAAAGTGCAAAACATTATGCATGAATCAGAATCAACTCGATGGCAACTAACAACATGCTTCATACCGTATGTATAACATGTCGGGGCCTGGTGGCACAGTGGTTAAGAGCTCAGCTGCTAACCAAAAGGTCGGCAGTTCAAATCCACCAGCTGCTCCTTGGAAACTCTATGGGGCAGTTCTACTCTGTCCT